AAGTATCTCTGGCAGACATTTCAGCCTGCCAAAGGAGCTTTACAGAAAGCCCGGTGAGGCATTACCACTAGCCTGCCATTTTATGAAAGGGGCACGACAGCTCTACTTTCTCTCTAAACTTCTTGTGTCTATGTAGGATTTAACCTTAGTGCCGGGATGTCATTTGGAGGATTTATGTACGTTCTACTAGAGGGATGGCAACCTCTTGGGTCATCTTTAGGGGTGTCTCTGTAGAGAAAATATTTGCAACAGCAAGCTGGGCTTCACCTTTGATCTTTGCAAGGTTCTACAGGTTGGATATTACTGCACCATCCCTAGCCCACACTGTCTTAAGTCTGGTTCCACATGAGATCTTTTAAGATGGCACTCAGTCATTCAGATAAGCTTAGCTGGCAATACACACTATGCATATCCCCATAGTGAGACACCAAATTAAATGTTTGAAGGAGAACTTGGTGTCTCACCAGATCACACTCGTTGCACAAAGCGAGGAAGAGGTGCGCTTATCTTGAATGACGAGTGACGCTGCATCACACCCTTTTATAGGGAGGAGGGTATCATGATTGTCAGCCAATACTGGCTGGAGTAATGATAGAGAGGCTTCTGAGGACAATGTTGAGAGAGCGTTCCGCATAATAAGACACCTCAATCATGTCATCAAAGAACAGTCGTTACAGAACAGAGTAACATCAAATGTCTTAACATAAAATAGATTTCTGCAGAATCTGACCAAGTGATCAACTTTGACTGATTTTTATTTTTGTGTCTCCTTGTTTTCAACCGAGTTATCAGTTCTGTCACTACTTAGCAAACATAAACTAATGTAGGTCTATTAGCTGCAACCAACCAACCCACCAAATGTTCTGTACTGGCACAAGACGCCACTAAACATGTTCTAAAAACACATGTTTCTTAAATCCAGCCTTTATACATGTATTGTTTCATGTCCACTTTACAGGTCATGTCTAATTTTCTTGCAATGACGACGGCTAAACTGAAATGGTAAACTATGGGAACTGCAATTGTAACTACATCTGCCTTCATCCTCATTCTGTGAAATGGAGAGAAATCAAGTTCATATACTCATGCTCAAGTCTTTCTATGTTTAAAACAAACACAGAGATATGAATCTAACCTTGTCACTAATCCAGTCCAGGGCATCTTCACACTCACGCAGATACTGGACCAGTTTCTGGGCCTGCAACAGACGCATGCCCTTTTCCTTGGTTTTCTCCAGCAGGAGGTCCCACAGGTGATGCAGCTCCTCCAGACGAGTCTAGCGCAAGTGACAAAGGTGGCAAGTGTTAATAAAGTTAGTGACAAGAAATGAGAAAATTATCTTGGATAGATGCTGGAAAACCAAAGAGAAGTCTTTTCCACTGAAGATCGTGGAAGAGCCGATTCATATGAAACACAGTGCATGCGATAAAAAGTTTTGAAACCGTTCAGTCAAAAATAGGGGAAAGCTGACTCAATCTTTAAGAATTCACAGCACTCAAGAGTCACACCACAGGTCAGCACCTACTTTTATATACTCGGCCATATTGACACTTGTAACTATTGGCCTCTGTTGTGTCCGGTAAGGCGTGTAGGACTGAATCAGATGGAAGGGGTTAATAGTCATCAAGAAGACCTACATTTTATGTGAGTGAAATTCTAATATTTTATTTTTCTCTTATGTTGCACTAATTATCAAGTATCTGTCTCCGTATGTTGCTCCTGTATATTTAGGGATGTAGCTTTCTAATAATAACAACTAATAAATAGTCAGGAAAGCAATGTTTGGTGTCACAGTGGCTACATCCATCATGAACATACATATAACCCCAAAGCCCACCACAGGCATACCTAAATGTCAACACACTGCATATTAGTGTGCATTTTGGCTACTTACTCGAATAGTGTCAGATGCAAAGTGGCCCTCAGTGATCATTAGATTTCCAGTCTTGTCCAGTTTGATGATTGCTTCAGCGTTGGCCTGAACTTCAGCTTCAAAAGCTTGATGTTTCTGCAGCTTGCCCTGTGTATGAAAAACATATATGATACAAGGTGCCCTTCTTACGGTCTAACAGGACTTAAATACATATACATTAAATAACTGACAGACCTGCAGGTTGGAAGGGTCCTTGTAGTTCTCATCAGAGGCAATCTGCAGCTTCTCCTGGATCCACTTCTCCAATTCATCGGCATCACGGCGGAAGAACTGAAAGCGATACGAGTCCTCCAGCTTCTGCCGGCGCACCATCGACAGCTCCTTGAAACGCCGGTAGCGGTCCAGGACCTGCTGCCGACGTTCCTGGATATCTTCAGCTGTCTCCAGCACTTTGGCTCCTGCGGTGTCCATTTTCTGGAAAAGCACCATCAATGACATACGTGCGATTATTTTGCATGCACATTTAAATAACAGCAGAGACAAATCAGCTGTGTATGGAAAAGAGAATGAAACATATCTCAAAATGGAAATTTATTTGGATGAAAAAATATGTTGCCTACACATCCTATGCACATAATCACATATGGAAAACATGAACTTTAAAGAAAAGAAGGTTAAAATCAATCTTCAGCTTGTCTCGCTGTGTCTGAGTAGGGTTAGATATTTCTTTAAAGACCCCAGTCTTTGCATTTTCCTGTTTACAGTTAAACATTGTTATTTTTCTCACATCCCACTTTACTGCTTTTCTTTGGACTCAAACATGGATACAAAGAGCAAGGCTGCATGCTTTAACTCCCACCCACCCTATCCTGTCTCTAGCTAAGCAACCAAAGGGCCGGCAGCTGAAATACTAAAAATGACAAATGGGGGTGGGGCGGAAATTCCACATGCATGTGAACAGTAACTAGGCTTCACTACACAAAGAGAGCGCAGCAGTCAGCTCATTCCCACTGTGCCCTAGGCCCCATGGTTAAAGTATCCTTGAACTGTGGCCAACATCCAAGTAGGAACGTTACAGCCGACAAAACAGGATACTAATCTATCATTTCCAGCAGCTTAGCTTTAAACAACATATCTGATTAAACTTATTCATAAATTCTTAATCAAAGCAGTAACAAGAAACTAAAAAGTATAAATGGTAAATGGACGGGTTCTTATTTGGTTCTTTAATATTCTAAGTGAGCACTCAGAGCGTTTTAATTAACTTGCCTCATTCTGCCATTCAGACCCACTCACACAAGCACTTTTTATGCTTTTTCTATGCAAGTGCTTTCTAACTAACAGCAACACACAATCATACTTGGATGGATGCATCAGACTTGGGGTTTGTATCTTGTATCAAACCTGTTCTGTCTTCTGAACCGCAGCCACCCCAATGTGAGTTTTAGTAGTTTTATGATTTTATCAAACTGAAATGTGAGCTTTTAGCCTCTCTAACAAGAAGCAAAACAGAAACAGGGATGGAGGTATTGATCCGTTTGAATCAACCTCCAAGCACAACAGCTGAGACCAGACTGAGTGAGGGTGAGGGCGGGGCTGTCCATGCTGTTAGATCTGCGTGTTTTTGTTGATGCTGCAGACAGAAACACAAAAACCGATGGATACATGTGAGACAATTTCCTGGATTCCACTAATTCCCTCTCTGAATGACGTGGGGGTATTAGTGAAGTCAGCAGTCTAGCTGTATTCAGCTTTTTATCAAGAACCAGAGATGGTTTGGTCCCCATAGACGCTAGTATTTCTCCAGAAAAGCAAGCATCCCAGGGGCTCCACACATGCAAAAACTCACAAAAATCTAGTCCAACAGTGTACTGTAAGCCGATTACGACCATCAACCCACTGCCTGACACAAAGTGATCTCCAGCTTGCACCCCTCCCCCTCTCCTAACTCACCCCATATCAGAGGGCCTAAATCATTTCAAGGATTTAACTGGACTCAGCCTCATTCTGCACAGTCATGCTGGCTGCTATATGACTGTGAATCTCTGTCTCCATCACCTAAGAACCAACATGACATTCTCAAGTCACTGACAAAGGTAACAGTAACAGAACTATTCATCTCACTTGTCTTATTCTTCTCTGGGTTTGCAAGCTTCAACTAATGCACACTGTTTACTCCTTTCTTGAAAAAAAGGTAAATACGCTATATTCAGACAGCACTGTGCTTCACAATATAAGCACAGTCTCTACTGCTACTGCTTTAACCTGATAAAATCTTAGACGTCACTTTATGTTCTAATTCCTTTAAAGCTGAAATTAATCCCTAAATCATTATTTTCATACTGCAAATTTTGCTGGTCTGACCTCATAAATGCAATGGCCCAGCAAATTTGTACAGCCTACTAATGTAATATAAAGATGACTAGTCTTAAGGGGACTGGATACATTATAATCTGTCAGATAATGGGTATAAATACTTAGACGTTTCAGTAAAAGTCTGACTGGAATTTAATATGTGAGTGTGAGCGAGTGTGAAGAACATTAGTGTGAAAGCAGGTCAATAACAGGCCTGTGACGCCTTAAACACAAGACTGCATCTGCTGATAGCACTCCCTCCCCTCCTCTATCACTAGATAACAGCTTTCTCTCTTTTAGCCTCACTGCTGACAGTCAGGGAAAGGGGGTGGCCACAACCGTGTTAGCATGCCAGCTATATCCCACAGATGGTTGTAGTCATGTGACACTTGCTTCTATCTTCAAGACACATTCAAAATTTTATACTGGGCAGGAATGACAAAACTTTGAACCACCAGTTGCATAATACTGTGGAAGTCAGCAGCATTCCAAAGTCCAAGTATCTACTTTAAAGTGGACATGAAACACTTCACCTATAAAAGCTAATTTACACCATGCAGCCATGCTCTCAACAACTGACATAGATTTAACACTGTGAAGCTGGCTTTAAGAAATAAGTGTGTAAAGTTAAATTTTTAAAAACAGAACCAATAACTCTGGGAAAATAAGGACACTAAAACCAAATCTTTGTTTTGTACCGTCCCTGGGTGCAATGAGTTTTATGTTACGAAACCTAGGATATACTACTAACATTCACTCTCCATCTCTTAAGCAGTCAGTGGTTCTTAGGCTACGTTCACACTGCAGGTCTTAATGCTCGATTCCGATTTTTTGATCAAATCCGATTTTTTT